AACATAAAGCCATTTTCATCAGAAACTAAAATTCAAGCTGGGCCTGATGGAACACACCTGTCATCCCAGCACTCAGGAGCCTGAGGCGGGAGGGTCACAAGTTTAAGGCCCGTCTGGACTATATAGCAAGTTCTAGTCTAGCTTGGATGGCACAGTGAGGCTCTGTCTCAAGAAAAAAATTAAAAACAGAAACTATACCTCTGACTTGTTGAATTTTATACACAACCAATTAAGTAGGCCACAGTCCTCAATTATACCTACAAATAGCATTTTATAGGTAAAATGAAAGTTTAAAAAAATCTTAAAGAAGCAAAATGAAAATATATTCAAGACATAAATGTGGGTAAATTTACCTTATGTCAGTTAAATGGAATACAAGTGTGAGTTTGAATTCATTTGAATAGATTTTCTTCTTTCTTGATTTGTTATCAGTGCTCAACTACTTCATAGATTATGAAAGATGATCTATCCTCTATCAGTGTTAACCAGTAATTTAAACTCAGTACTTGACCCATTTGGTAATTTAACTGTAATATCTTATCCAGCAATGTACTTACTTCCTCTAAATCACTCAAATCCTTTCAATTTGCTGTTTTCATGATTTCATCCTCCCCCCAAATTTCATGATTTCTCCTCATTCAGAAGCTGTTTCACTTCTGGACACCCTAATTCCAGAGACCCTCCATGAATTAACCCCTGAACAGTCCACACTCTGAGAACACTAACCATTCTTCCTGCTGCCTATTTCTAGGCATAAGAGAACTACCAGAGACAAAACAAAAACAAAGCAAATTGGCAAACTAAAAGTTTTAAAAGCTACTCCGATTTATCCATTGCCTCAAATTCCTAGTACCATCTCCGCTGAGATGGTAACTTCTCAAAATACAATGTACTTCTTTCATAAAATTTACCCCCTTGATGTCTTATAATCTCTCTCATTTCTTAATCAATAGTTACTCTGCCTAAATGGAAACTATGAGGCTTCAGTTTCCATCTGCCTCACCATCTTATTATGACCTCGTTTCTGTATTTCCTTGATCCATTCCTTCAGAAACAGAGCTTGCTGTTCCTTTTCTCTGACGACCACTGTACCGCCTATTCTGAAAGCTCTATATTACCCTCATTTTTCCATGGCCTTGTCCTTACACCTGCCCTTTTCTACTCCACTTGCTCCTTGATGTATTTGATAAGGTAACTAACTACTTTTTTTTTAATTACAGTCCCTCTCCCTCACTACTATCATGGCATTGTCCTATTTCTACTTCTCATTCCACATCTCAAACTGTAAATGCTCATTCTTTTTACTTCCTCACCCTTAACATTGCCTCTTTTGATCTGTTTTGTTGTTGTTGTTTGTTTGTTATTGTTTTTTTCCCCTTTGCCTACTGGAGATTGGGATGAAGGAGAGAGTAGGGAAACAGAAAAAGACAGGTAGGGTGGTTCTGTTGGAAATTTACAATTCCTCACATATGTTGGGATAGAAACAAGTTGAGACCTATAGCTTACTACTCTCTAAGCAGAATTTATTTATTTTGTAATTATCACACTTATATCTATGCAATGATCTGCAGTTCAATTTTCTCTATTACTTTGACCTCTTTCCTGAGATCCAATGCATCTAGAGGCATAATGGACATTTATATTTTTATGTCCCACTATCTGACATTTCCAATTTGACACAACCAAACTTTGGCATCAACTTCCTCACCTAAAATTATTCCATTTGATCTTCACTATCATTTAAAGGACCTAATCAATCTCTATTATCCAGGTTTGAAGAAATGGTGTCATTGCCTTCATTTCTTATACCAAGTTACTAATGAATTCATCATTGGGACTGTTACCTTGTCTTCATCAAAGATAAAGAATTGCCTATCTAAAAAAAACTATCCTCATCAATTCTTCCCATGTTTAGTATGTGCAAGGTCCTGGGTCAATCCCCAGAGCCAAAATAAACAAATAAATAAATAGGGCCAGGGATGTAACTCAGTGAAAGAGTTTTATTCCCGGCACCGAAAGGAAAAAAAAAAAAAGCATGTATACACATATTTATATGTGTGTGCAGGTGTGTATATACACACACATATATGCACATGTGCATACATACAAAAGACCACTTTCCTCATTTTTTTCCTTTATTCAGCATTTATAATAGCTCTATTTCCAGCTATATATAAAGTCTAAATACCCTCAGTGATGGGTCCACTAAAATTTGACAACTACGTTCATACTTGTTTACTATTTTCTCTATTCTAACATTTCTCAAACTTTTTTTTCCTCAGAGTCTTTTACAGCATAAAAATTACAGAGGATCCCAAAAAGCTTTTGTCTATGTGGCTTATAGCTACCAGTGTTTTGGAGATTAAAATTGAGAAAAAAATTAAAACACAAGAGTATATGGACACATTCTGTTAACTATCAAGGCAATATCATCACCCACCAGGCAAACTGGAAAAATCTACTGACACTTGAAAAAGGCACATGAAATTTTAGTATTATGGAAATAGTTTTGACCTTTAGAACTCCTGGCTCACTAGAATACTGCTCTATGCTACTTTTCTTACCCACCTCCCTATCTGTCATTAATGAATGATTTTTGTGTGCATAAAAGCCTAGAGGCAGAAAAAAGGCAAGAGTCACAGATTTACAAAATAATCTTCATTATTCATTATATACATATATATATATATATATATATATATATATATATTATTCATTATTCATTAGCATGCCTGCTCATTCACAGTCTGACCAAACCCATCAACTTTATTTCCTGCTATGTCCATCTCCTTTCCCTTCACTGCACTTCAACCAAAGTTGGAGGTTCCAAAAAGAACAAATCCTTTTGTGCTTCTGCATCTATAAACAATCCTTTGCCTAGAGGCCTCTCTTATTCATCCTGCAGGCCTGATTCACAAGTTATGGCTTCTATGAGGCCTTCCCTTGCATATCCCATCCCCAATTATTCTTTTTTCTGTGCTTTCATAGCACATTAGAGCTTTTCACATTGTCCTGACATTGTTTATATGTTTGCCTCCTCACTATATAGTGAACTACATGAAGGCAGATTTGCTATGTGCTCATCACTGCATTTCTAGTACCTTACACAAAGTGGAAATACAGACTTATGGTCACGCATTTGAATCTGTCTCTCGAGATTCAGTCTGATGTTCATCTATCCTCAAGTACTCCAGGCCACATTGTACTTTCTTCTTCCTTTGAAGTTCTGCAGTATTATATGGAAACTGAGCAGAGAAAAGCCTGAAGGAAAGTAACAGTTATTCCTTCCTACAAAACAGACTGGGGATTCTGAACCATAGAACCAAGTCTAACTTCCCAGGACAAGGGCCTCCATCAAGTAGGTCTTCTTGACCTTTTCAATTTAATTTTTCATTACTTTTCAATATGAACTTACCACTCCTGTCATCTAATACACATACACATACACATACACACACACACATACACACATACACACACACTCCATTCTATTTTCATTCCTTTTGTTTACACTCCTCTCCCCCAGGAATTACATTTCCCTGTTATTCTAAATTCTTTTCCTTAAAAGCATGGTTCAAGATCCACAAGTTCCATGAAGTTTTCTGAAACTATGCCAGACCAAAGGAAAATTTCCCCATTTGGATATCTAACCCATTTCCATTTGTTTCATATAATTTAGTATTTATTATTCTATTTATTATTTATTTATTTAGGCTTTTTGAGGCAGGGTCTCACTACGTAGCCCAGGGTTATTTTGAACTCATGATCCTCTTGCCTCAGCCTCCTGAGTGCTGGGGATTACAGGCATGTACCACCACACCCAGCAATTATTCTTTAATAGTTTTAAGTATATCAATGCAGCAACCCCAAATATCCTGACAGCTCTTCAAAGGGAAGTATTGTCCTCTCTCAAAACATGAGTGTCATTATGCACCAGATAATGGCAATGTTTCTAGTCTTATTTCTTTGGTATCAGTCTTGTTAGCAATAGGAAGACAAGGCATGTAATAAATACTATTCCCTTATTTGATTTTTCTTCCTAAGTGGTTACAATAATAAAAGCTACTTTTCTTCTAGGGAACATTTTTTCCGTAGATACAATTACCGACTTGAAAATAAAATAGGTGCTGTGAGTGCCCTGACACTGTGAGTTTAAATATGACACTCTATTACAGGTAAGTCACTCTGAGTCTGTAATGCACTTGCTCTTCCCTTTTTAAAAATGTCTCATTATCTTAGATAAATCATTTCTTATTTTAGTTGTAATAGTTTTAACTCCCATAATACACTTTGATCCATGGTTACTGAAAATAATGTCAAACGTTACAAATCAAGCCAAAGAAATGAGGCAAGTAAAAATTACACATAAAATAAAAATGTAATCTTTGGAAAACCAAGAGATTATGATAATTGGGCCTCAGACCAATGTTTTCCTTAAATGGAATTTGTCTAAGGGGCCACATCTTCGCTACCACCATTCCCTTAAGGATCCACGCCCAAATGGGGCGAGCATTAAGTTGGAAAATGGACTAAACATAGCAACTAAACTTATTCCATATCACAGATCGATGGCAATTTCTGAAGACCACTTTCTCCAATTCTTCACTTTTGCCTATGTGCAAAGGTCAGATAATTAGGAATAATATGGGAAAATAGAGTTAAAAATAACCAGAAGGTGTAGCATGCTCTAAGTCCTACTTGTTTGTAAATACGGTGTATCAGCTACAACGTTCAACTTAATGTTGAATTCTTCAACACTACGAAAGAGACTTGAGGTTAGCGACAATTCTTTCTGATATATAGGGATCAGATATATATTCATAAAAGTGTATATGAATATTCTTTCAATAAGGGGAGGGTATCCCAGAATGAATTTCACGTCAGAAAAGGGGACCGCTGAATGAAGAAGACTAGAAGAAGCCGTCAGCTGACAAGCAGCAGCTTCCTCGCCCCGTTTTGCCCCTCCCCAGCTGTAGGAAGTAGAAAGCTGCAGAATGTACCTTCCAGGCCAGAAGCAAAACATTGAGGATGGCCAGCAAAGGACAGGGTCCATTCTCATTTTGGGTGATGATGGGTGTGTTCTCTTCCTTCCACTGGATCCACTTGATGTGATACACAGACTGTCCCGGGAAGCGTTCCTTGGAGGCCGCCAACACCTGAGCGGTGTCCTCCTCCCTGCACAGAGGGGCAGCCCCGGGCACCACCGCGGCGCCCTCCTCCTCCTCGAGGACCCTGTTCTCCGGTCCCTCCTCGCTATTGAACTCGGAGCTACTGGGGAAAGAATGCAGGTTGGAGAACGACTCCAGGGAGTCCAGGCTGGGCGACTCCCCAGGGGGGCTCGGGTCGCTGCCACTGCTGCTCAGGCCACCGGCGCTGCTGGGCTCCTCGGAGCCGGAGGCTGCCTGGCAGGTGAGGCCGGGCTCCGGGCGGACTCCCGCGTCTCCCGCCGGGCTCGACCCAAGGCCGGCTCCGGCCTCGGCTGTCTCCGGGAAGGCGGTCACCTTGTGCTGCCCTCTCAGAGGTGCCTTCGCAGGAGCAGGACTCTCCAAAGCAATCCCCTTCGAGTCCGAGCCCGGGAAGGAGCTGCACAGTCCCGCAACCTGCGGAGGGCCGGCTGGGGAAGCCGAGTCCGGGAGGCTCCTCCGGGCAGCCGCCGCCCCCTGCCCATTCCCGTCGCCGCTCTCCGCCGCCCATACTCCAGGACCATCCCCAGCGGCGAGCCTGGTCTCCGGTCGCCCAGCCGGCGGAGAACCTGTCCCCGGCGCTGACTCGGCCGCCACCCCGTCTTCTAGAGGCTTCAGGCTGTCGGGGCCTCTCTCCATACCCGGCCGCCCGCCCCTCGCTCTATAAATACCGCGACCGGTTCTCCAGAGCCAGTGCCTCAGACGCCATGACAGCGGCACTGGCTGCTACAGCGCCCTAGCGCGGCCTTGGCCAGGCACGTCACCGGGGAGGGTCCCGGGAGCGCGCGCGCGCGCCGCCGTGCACCCCGCCCGCTCGGGGCGTGCCTCCACGTGACTGCGCGCTGCGAGGCGAAAGGAACCACGCAGCCCCGCCCCCGCGGCCCCGCCCCTCCCGCCCGCTCATGCAAAGTCCAGAGAAGGCCGGGAGTGGTTGGGGGGGGGGGGGGCGCGTGTGTGTGTGTGTGTGTGTGTGTGTGTGTGTGTGTGTGTGTGTGTGTGTGTGTGTGTGTGTGTGTGTGTGTGTGTGTGTGTGTGTGTGTGTGTGTGTGTGTGTGTGTGTGTGTGTGTGTGTGTGTGTGTGTGTGTGTGTGTGTGTGTGTGTCTAAGGGGCGTGGCCACGGGCGCGCCCCCGCGTCCTCCGCTCCAGTAGAAAAACATCCTCTCACTGTGTGGCCGGAAGTTGAACTCCAGGGCAGCCAGGCCGCGCGCGGCTACTTTAAAGGCCGGCTCCGCGGGCGGCTGAACACTTGGCTGTGACTCTTTAGAACTGGGTCGTGTGTGGCCCAGCTTTGGGCTCCAGCCTGGTAACCGGGGAAGAGTTGGTGGTTGTAGCACTGGAAAAGAGGTCGTCTCTGAAAGGCTCTGGAGACTTGTTTCCCCAGCTCGTAACAGGGAAAATTGAAAGCGGGTCGCAGGAAATGCAGGTTTTGAGGGCGGGGATGTACTCGAGGTGTATAGATCATTGCACTGAACAAATTCCAGCCTCCATGGGTTTTGGCTGAGAAGCGCGATGCATCCTCCAGCTACTGGTGAGACGTTTGCCCTGCAGGAGGCGTCAGTGCTCTTGTGGATATTGGCCCGCGCAGTAAAAGAAAGTGGGTAATTTGGACCAATAATAAATTAGCTAATGCAGGCTAAGTCTTTGCGGTTTTGTTAACTTGGCTTCGCGTTGCATGGAGTTGGAAGCGCCTGCTCTTGAAAAAGGGGACTTTTTCTAATTAGCATTGAGTCTCCTTGAGGCCATGCGATTTTCAAACAGGACTGACAGTAGGCTTCAAGTTTTGTTGGTGAGAAGCAGATGTGGATTCTATTCTGACCTGTTCCAGAAAAGGGCTCTCCACTCCTCCCCCCCAGCTTTTTTTTTTCCTTCCCTTTTTCAACATTTGGTAGGCTCTGGGATATAAAAACGAAAACAGGTCTTCACAATCAGACATATAAATTGTATCTCTCGGTTTAGAAAACGTATACAAAATTACAAACTGTTTTATTCATTCTTTCAACACATTTCAGCCCGGTTTTTTTGTTGTTGTTGTTGTTTTTCCTTTTTTCTTTTTCAGTGCTTCGATTCAAACCCAGGGCCTCAGTACCTGTGAGGCAAATACTCTTACTTCTGCCCTACCCTCCCCCGCCCCTCGGTGGTTTTATTCTTACTGCTGTATCTGTAATACTTGCTTGGTTAGTATATTTTTCTGAGAATGCAGTAGAGCCTCTTTTCCCTTGCCTAGCAAGCCCAAGGTCCTGAGTTCAAATCTTTTAAGCATTGGCATCATATTCATCAAACTCTCAGAAAACAGGAAAATTAGAAAAAATAAAGGAAAGCTTCTTCAGAATGTTGACTTTTGAGTTTTTGATGCATTGGTCTCCATGTTGATCCGTAAAACAATACATCTTGTTGTAGATTTGAATTTTTCTCTAAAAAAAAGAATTGCAGATGTTAACATATTAAAAAGCATGCTAGCAGTCAGGCACCAGTGGCTCACGCCTGTAATCTTAGCTACTGGGGAGGCACAGATCAGGAGGATCACCTATGAAGCCAGCCCCGGCAAATAGTTTGTGAGACCATATCTCAAAAAAAAATCCAACACAAAAAAGGGCTGGTGGAGTGGTTCAAGTGGTAGAGTGCCTGCCTAGGAAGTGTGAATTTAAGAGTGCCGTGAGTTCAAACCCCAGTACCGCCAAAAAAAAAAAAAAAAAAAAAGAAACATGCTGCTGGATTAAGCACATTGTGATATTGTCATGAAGTACAATTGAGTATGTTACAGATTTCAGGAAATTCAGAATTTGGTATGGTGCCTCAAATGTAAAAAGGAGATCTGTAAAGGTGTATTATATGGATAAGTTGAATGAATGAATCATTTATAGGCCAGTGAGGCACACAGTAGAGCCAAAAATCATGGAACACACTTCTCAAATAATGTCCCTTCACCACTTTTCAAAACCGTGCTTGAATAAATGTGTACTTGCTCTGGTAGTTTTTATGAACCGTGTTTCAAATACTCACATGCATAGTTTAACAATCTATAACACAAAGAAGCAGAATCAAGTTTTCTTTCCAATGCTGTCAACAATTACATAAGGTAGAATGAACAGTGATGAGAATATGGACAGTTATTTGAGATTATGAAAATGTACACAGTTGGGCTAAGGTATAGCTCAACGGTAGAAGCATGTATGTGGCCCTGAGTTCAAACCCTAGCACCAAATAATTAGTTTTTTTAAAAAAAAAGAAAAAATACATTTACATTTTAAGGGTGGTAGGGAATGGCATCTAGGAAGAATACCAGAAGACAATAAGCTGACAAATTTCTCAATCTTACTTTGCTTATATGTGTTTTAGCTAAACTATAAAGTAAGATAAACCATTTTAAGTTAAAAGTTACTACCCAAAGTTTCAAATTATTTTTCGAAGTTACAGATGTGATGGTCTTAAAAGTTAGTTCGTATAAAAAAAAGCAGTTCTCTGCTTTGTCCCTCCACACCATTAAATCCTTCCACACCATTAAATCCTCTTTCTTTCTTTCGGTGAAGTTTGAACTCAGGGCCTTGAACTTGAACCACACTTCTCTACCCCTTAAATCTTGCTCTTTACAAATAATCCCTTTCAACTCAGAGCTTTAGCTCCTTATCCCCATATTTTTGAGTAGCATAATTACACTCTGATATCTTCATTTTAAAAAATTACAGCTACTTCTGGCTGGGTATGGTGATGTATGCCTGTAATCTTAGCACTTGGAAGGCTGGCACACAGGAGGGCTACATAGTGAGACCCTGTCTCCACTTCCCTCCCCCACAGAAAAAATTATAGATACTCAGGGCCTCATGCTTGCTAGGGAGGAGCTCTACCATTCAAGCTATGCTCTCAGTCCTTGATTATTCTTTTATTTGTTTTATTTTGAGATGGGGTCTTTCTGTGTAGCTTAGGCTGACCTCAAGCTCATGATTCTCCTGCCTCAGACTCCCAAATGCTGGGTTTACAGATGTGCAGCACCACACCTGGCTCTATTTTTATTTAATTTTATTTTATTTTGCAGCTCTGGGGTTTGCACTCAGGGCCTCATGCTTGCTAGGCAAGCGCTCTTACTGCTTGAGCCATTCCACCAGCCCTGGCTCTATTTTAAAATTCTGTTTTTCTTAGTTCCATCGTATGTTTTTCTAGCTACCATGACAGGAAACACCCTGTCATCTTTGACCTTGACCCTAGTTTATTGATTATTATCTCATCTATCAAGTCTTACTGATATGGTTCCCTTCTTTCCTTCATTTCCTCTGTGGCCACCCCTAGTCCTTACCCCCTTACCACTAGAGTGTAGAGATCTTCTGATTTTTCCCCCAGCTTATGGCTTCTATAAGTTATAATTCAAACATCTTGCTCTTATTATTTTGATGTACTACTAATAATGAATTGATGTTTCTTTATTACTAGCTACATCAAAATTAGCTCTGCATAGAATATTGGATGGGTATGGAACACATATACCTCTGCTCCACCTCTTTACTATCAATTCAGCATATGTGAGAAAATTCTGAGTTAAAATTCTGAGGGTTTCCACATACCTCAAATCACCCTGGCTTTGGCCTTCAACTGCTTACAGATACTCCAGCCTCCTGCAAAGTACAACTCTGACTCAATTATTTCCTTGTGCCCCCATAAGGAGTCCACACCTGTTCCGACACAAATCCAATACTGCAATGTTCTGCCAGGTGCTGCTTCGACTCCATGCTGCTTTAGCAGATGCTTACCTGTCCTGGTGGCATTAAAGATGCATGATGACAAATGGAGGGAAATAACCTTTTCCCTTTTATTATAGTCCTAATATGCTATCGTGAGAGTGAAATAGCTCTCTCCATTTTGCTTAGGTTCCTTTTAAAACATGGAACCTAAATATGTATCCAGGTAGGCTGAACCAGCAAAGAATTCAAGGCATATATTTCATTGCCTTCAACTCAGAATCCTTACTCCCTGGTCTTAAACTAATTTGTTGTTGGATAAAGTATATCATGCCTGCTTCTTTCTTTCCTTAGGCCTTCTCTCCTCCAAAATTATTCTGCTTGGGTACCAGGCATTGGTGGCTCACACCTGTAATCCTTAGCTACTTGGGAGGCAGAGATCAGGAGGATCATTGTTTGTGAAACCCCGTCTTCAAAATAGGCAGAGCAAAATGGACTAGAGGTGTGGTTCAAGTGGCAGAGCATCTGTTTTGCAAGAGTGAAGCCCTACGTTCAAACCCCAGCCCTACCAAAAAAAAAAAAAAAAAAAAGAGAACAGTGAAAGAATGCTTGCCTGGCACAGGCTAGACTCCAGGTTGAATTCCCAGCACTGCAAAAATAGTTTTTCTTTAGTCTTATTCAGACCTACAGAATCAGGAATGTGTTGAATGTGTTGAAACAAGAGATCATCTTTTTAAACAAGTGCTCCCGTGATTCTGATAAAGGATAAAGTTTAAGCATTACTACTTTAGTACTAGGGGAAGCAATCCCTCCACACCTCTGTGGCAAATAAAGAAGCCTTAGCAAGAGACGGCAAACAGCTTCTAAATTCATCTTGGATATCCAGTGTTGTTTTTCATTACTCTCCCCATATCCTCCAAAGTTAGTCTTTTAGCCATTTTCTCCTTTACGCTTTCTTTTGAGGGATGTGTGTGTTGACAGATAGATACATTCATTTTCAAAGTCATGTCTAAGACTACATTTGTTACTCTGATCTCAAAATATGTTCCCCCTCTTGTCTCTCCCATATTTTTTCATGTTAA